GTTTGGCTGCAAAACGAAAGTGATAAACGACACAAGGACCAACAGCATTGAACTACAAACAATGAGGCAAAAAGGACGAAATGTTGGGTAGAGGGGTGGTGGAAGGGAAGGGGGGAAGGAAAAAAGAAAGCAGCAAACTGACACTTGGACGTGCGCACAAATAACACTTAACACAATAACAAACAAACTTTTCGACTAATGACAGTCCAAGTAGCAAACAATTTATCCAATGCTCGCAGCATATCCTTTTGCCTTAGTTTGCACACATACATACATACATGCATACACACATACTCGTACATGGAAGGAATACATACACGCAGTCGCTTTTGCCAAGTCATTAATCTTATTTCGTTGTGGTCGATACTGCAGCAGCAGGAGGTTTGCCTTCGCCTTCGCCTTTGCGTCGTTATCCTTTCAAGCGTGAACACATGCGATTACGCGTGGTGTGTGTGCCAGTTTCCGCATTTTCCTGTGCCAGGCGGCTGCCATGATTAAGTGCCATTTTGAAAAGTACTAAAATCCGGTCGGTCATGCCATGGTCGAGACCAAAGGATATAATGCAAGGATATGGCGGGGGAGCAGGCGTGTGTGTTATGGCAGCAGCCAACCAGCCAGTCAGTCCCCAGTGCCAATGTCAAAGTGTCAATGATATATGTTATACGCTTCGATAAGACGATGCCACTGCCGCTACCGCTGCCGCTGCCAGTCGCTCAGTCGAGGTGCCACACAAGTAACAACAACAATACGAATAATGACAACAACAATAACAACAGCAGCGGCAGCAGCAGGATCAGACGACGGCAATTCCAGACATTTCGGGTGGGCAGGCAGGCAGGCAGGCAGGCTGGCTGGCAAGCAGGAAGTGAAAAATATTGTACGTGGACAAAAGCCTTCGAAGCGAAATCAGTGCACGTTCACACAATAATATAATAGTTGGCAATATATTGTAGATTTTTCCGTCCGTCCGTCCGTCCATCCGTCCAGCCTTCCATGTTTCGTGCTCGTAATTTTTCTTATTTTTCCGTGTTTCTCTGTGTTTCCCCCTCTCCCCTCTGTGTGTGTGTGTGAAAAATTATTTTGCAATGACATGGCACACGTTTATTGGATTGTTTGTGTGTGGCCAGGCCATATCATATTTTTTTTGGCTTTGTACAACAACAGTTCCTAGGCAATAACTGATTGCTGGCGAATTGTGCGGAAATATCATATTTCTCGGATTAATCAGACTTTGCTATGAAACTTCTTCCCCTGCTTTAAAATATTCTCAATTTTCTTTCCTTCCCAAACAGTTCTGTCAATATAGTTTTAGTTATGCTGTAATATGTTTTCTGCAATACCTACACCTAGAGAAATATTAAGTATTTCCTATGTAAATTGATACCAAAAAGTTGGTAGAGTATGGTCATCTCGAAAATTCGGTTACCAAGACAAAATGTATAGCTTTTCAATCTTGAGAAATTTTGATTTTACACCGTTTTAGTGCCGTTTCAATGTGTTATTAATAATTATTAAATAAATTGATATTTGATGCTTGCCAAAAGATTCCATTTTATTTGAATCCTTTAAGTTCATTTAAAGATTTTGTCTTAATATTTTTAAAAAATAGATAATTAATTTCATCCATAAATATGTACATGTTTTAGATTATATATGTACAACCCACAGCACACATAAAGTTCTAGCGCTCACAATAATATCCCTGGTATTTATTTACGATTTTTTGGACTTTATCAACCTCCAATGGGCTTGAATTATGCACTCTCGTATTAATTAGCAGGTTGGTGTGAAATAATTGGCTTTTTTTTTTATTTGTATTATATTTATTTATTTTTAAACCTAATCCTAACATCAGATTACTTTTAAGTAATTACGTTAGGCAGTAGATATTTATTTCTAATTTAATTCAATTTAATCTAATCTAAGTACAAATGTAACTTTTTTCAGATTAAACATTACAATTATTAATTTTTTTTATTTTCATTAGCATTTGTTATTATGATATTAATTATAATTTCATTCACTAAGAAAAGAAATACATTTGTTACTCTGGAGGTGTTTTCTCTGGTTTAAGGCTAGTTCTTAAGATATTTTTCTTTTAAAAGAAGTCTTTTACGCTTCAATTACTGAGATATTACAATAATCTGTTAGGGTAATTTATCATGCATTATGATCCGTGAAAACTTTTTAGATTAAAAACTGCTGCAGTTGTCATGATGATTAACAAATAATGTATGTGTGTATATGTGTTGATTATTTTAAAATCCATTATGCTTCTAGCTGTTTTAAAAATAGACACTTATACCACTAAGAGGGAACTACTTTTAATGGATATCTTGAACTTGTTTCTGTGTTCAGTCATTCCAATTTTAATCTTTACTCTATCCTTTGAAAGATCTCGCATTTTAAACATTAAGCATGTCTGGGCGATGTTGTTTGCATTCAGTGCCCTACAAACCTCAACAATGTACACCACACATCATTATCAACTATTTAATTTATAGCATCACATACCAAAAGATCAATCACCTTGCACCGCAGCAGTAGCAGATCGAACAAACAACAAATTGGAGGCAGAGAATTGGAAGTCGAAAAATCCGCATAAATTCCAGGAAATCCACAACACGCTTTAATGTACCTTCAAGAGAAGCGAAATGAAATGTAATGAACACATCTTGCCCAATTACCCAGCAAAATTTCCTTCATCTATCTGTGCTCTGACTAATCGAGCAGCCTCACACGGCTATCCATCAAATGGCCGGCTGCAGCAATTATTTCGTCTATTTTATTTTTAAACGAAATTAACGTGTTGTTCTATCTTTCGACTATCTCATTGTTATTGTTCATTCGGTCGGGTGTTGCTTGTTGTTGCTGATGTGTTTTTATTGCGTGAAAAGTAAAAAAAGGCGCACTAGAAAATACACACGAAATTCTCAAGATCAGTTTTATAGCAGAGCAATCTCATTGCCGCCCTATCCCATTGGCCTGGCCTGGTCTGTCTGAACTGTCTGGTTACCATTTCTGACATTTGCCTGCTGTGCGTTTCGCGTCTTGGTCGCATCGTGGCAAGTAGTAGGCGCTGATTGATAGAACAAAGTGAAAATCAAATAAAAAACAAAACATAAAACTATGCCTCGGTGCCACATTGCGGTAAAAGATCAAAGACCGCCCCGAGATCTGTAATGACAGCTTTGATCATTGTTTTGCCTTTGATTTTTTCCGGTTTGTTAGTGCCCCGAATGCCGGCTGTGAAGAGATTCCGATTCCCGTACTTGTTGGCCTCCTCGTCGCGTCGTCTATTTTGACCCATCTTCGTGGATTTTATGAGCAATTTCGCGCCTACTTGAGAGATTCCCCTAAAGATTTTCGCCTACTTTTCTGGTCGGGAACATTTTTAGTGGTTGTTCGGGCTATGTATAGAATTTACAACTGGTATGGTTATATAATTTCTTCTTCTTGCTTCTTGCATGTCGGCAGAAATGTGATTTATAGCCCCCAGTTTAATAATCCAGACATTTTGTGTAAATTATTGTCATACTTCATGTTATTTTTTTCTACATTTTACACCCTGTACATGAAGGAATATAAGTATAGAATATTTTCTGAATCAGCTTTTAAGTAGTAATTGCAACAAGCAGATAGATATCTCGATTTGGATGCTACACATATAGCTATAACACTTTTCACTACACTTTTATCTAACAGGCATTAAAAACTCCAATCAAAATAATAATAGATTCAGAAAAAGAAAACACGTTTTCAGCTTGCATATATTCGCTGAAGGGAAACGATTTATATGCTAGTCTAGCAATACAGATATATTTTCTTTTTTTTTTTATTTATTTATGGGGCTAGCTTATAGTTAAAGCTATAGGCTAACAGGTGCTTATAGCCTGGCTATCAGGGCCTTAAGCTTTATTTGTTTGCATTTTATATTTTAAGTTAAATTGTTATTGAAGTCCAACTTAATGATATAGATGAATTAAATTAGGTTTTAAATATTAAATCAAATTTATTCAGTTATTTTGTATTTTGAATTAACAGTGAGGGAGTGCCACCTCGAAGACTAACCCATATTCAATTTAAAAATAATCTGTTAAGTTTGGAACTAGGGAATTATAAATATTGCTGGACAAAAATAAAATAACATAAATAAAAATTATGAAGCATAACTTTTATAAATAATAAAAATTCAATCGAAACTAAAATAGGCAATGAGCATCTTTCTTCTGATAAATTCTGAAAATATGCTAAGTATGTTTGATAAAGGATGGATCTTCTATATATAAATAGCAAATTATTTAATTCTGCTGCTGGCGTTATATACTACGATCGTTCATTAAATAAATTGCTCATGGCATTTGCCTTATTTGTAGTTTTTCAAAAGGAGACTCTAATCCACCATGTCTTCATATTAATCACCCTAGTTCAAATGTCCATTAGAGTTGAACCGATTCTATTTTTATACCGTCACCTTAGAGCCCCCAACTTATGAAGCACACACTCAAAATAAATCCATAAAATTGTCAACACAAACGTTGGATACGGTGGATGGAGGTCAGGGAGAAGGGGAGAAGGGGGAGAAGGCACAGCTGCGAATTAATCAAGCAGTAAATTCCCAATTTTCTTTGGCCACAGAAATGCGCCCGAAAACAAAGTGTTCTCCATGCTGCCCACTTAGCACACTCAAATTTATGGCACTTTAAAACCCCTTCTACCGAAAATACTTAATTAAATACACACTCGCACAAACACACACATGGATGCGAACAACAATTTTGTAATAAAAATCACGTAAACTGTCAACCGCAGGCAGTGCCATGTGTTTTGGGTGTCAGCGTCGCTCGATTTCAAAGGAATTGTGCTCGTTGCACATTTCGAATATTTTCCGACTTAGGCACGATTCACAATCCTGAAGACAATAAATAAAAATAAGACTACTTGTACACACTAGTGTTCTAGGAACCCTTTCTTTGGCTCTTTCCTTGGATCATCATCAATATAGTATACTCGTAGATGCGTTTTATTTGTTCAGCCATACATGCGTAAATTCTGGAAACCACATGAGGCAGCAGGGAGAGAAAACGAAAGGTAAACTTAAATCACATATACAATACAATGGAAATTTATGTAATGCCTTCGTAGAATGGACGAATCTGTTTCTGTTTATGCTTCTGGCTCAGGTGTAGGGTCCGCACTGGTGGCTACCGTTCCAAAACTTTGTTTTATATGATTTTTCAGGGGAATTGTAACAAATTTACGTGCTGTGGCAGTTAACACGGTTCTTAGGGGGAGGGGAACTACTGTTTGCCTTTGTTTTCCAGCTGTCTGGGCGTCATAAATCAGAATTGTGGGTTGGGTTCACTCCAAAGACTCTTGTTCGACATTGTCAGAAATCTGTCACACGCCCCTTGCGCTCCCAGTCGCCGTAACGTGTGGGCTCTGGCCCAGCCGGACCACCGATTTCACCTGTATACGGATTCTTGTTATTGGGCCAGCGCTCAAGCGGTTCCTTCTCGGCTGCCGGATGCAGACCGTTTTCGGGCAGACACGATAAAGGCGCCTCCGAACGCAGCTTCTCCTTGAACTTCAGATAACGCTCGGTATGTTGAAATGTTTTCTTCTGTCCAGATTTGTTAGAACCATCTTTTGGAGTTGTTTCCTGTACCTTTCTTCCTGCAATGGCAGCTACTTGGACTTTACTTTCTACACACATGTAACGAAAACTATTCATCGCCAGTAGCTGCCGTTTAAAGCCATTCAAAGCGTAGGACGCACGGTGATGAAACATTTTGCTTTATGGAAACAAATATTTAATAATTGACCTTCTGTTAAAATTTCGAATTATTCTTACTCAAAGGTGTATGTTTTCAATCACAAAACTCCACTTGAGAAAAGACGCAACGGCTACTTTTTTGATTGAACCGAAAAAGCTATTGATGCACGATTTAGTCTTATAAGTGTGTTATTTAGTGTTGCAAAACAAATTTTTAAAGTAATTATGCTTGCTTTAAAGTTCACCTACAATACTTAATGCGTATGGGTCTTGATTACTTGACTACTTGTTTTATCGTCAATCTTTTCAACTTTTAGTGAATTTGGGGAATTTATCATAATGTCTTTCGATGAAGTTGTAAGTAATCAGCCAATAGTTATTTTATTATATATTTTATTGATATTTCATTAGAAAAATTTGATGTTATACAAGTATAGGAAATATGGCCTGTATGCAAAAAAACAGCCAGGAATATCGAGTTATTCTGAACCGTAACTGCAAGGGCGATTTAATAATTTAATATTTAATAAAATATTTGTCTGATCGAAGAAAAAATCAATTGTAGGACGAAACGTTTTTAAATATGTTTTGTAAAAACCAAAGAAATGTTCAGAATATACTTGGTATTTATATAGAAAGCGCCTGCGTAAATCTTTAGCGGGGTTTCTTATAATTACTTGTATAACAAATTATTATGCTATATATTTATAATATATTATAATATAATATAAAATATTTTATAGTGTTCTGCACAGCAACAGCACAATTTGTTGATTTATTAAAGTAAAATAAAATGCCCAAAATTTCCTTATCAATGTCATCGTCAAGGTAATAATTAATTAATTAACATTTTTGTTCAAGACCCAATCAGGGTGCTACATAAGGCATTGCTGCTGGCCATCTGGAATTATTTACTGTGCCAAATAGACCATTTCTTTTGTCAAGTGAAGAGGGCAAGCTTTTCGATTTCGTTGTGGGGTTTTTACTGAGCACTCAGCCAAGCACTTTGAGGCTATTCCAATGCTACAATGTTGATTGACTTTTTGAAACGATAGCCACAACAATCACACTATCTTGCATATATAATTGCGCAAATTAAAAACTGATTTAAAGAAGTCGTAGTATATCTACTTATCATCTATAACATATTCCTATTTAGCAGTCAAAGTAGGGGTATGTATTATCTTTAAATCAACTAGAAGCTATTCCAATTCTCCAACAGAAATTGTAGAAAACTGATTTAAAGAAGTCGTATATCTACTTATCATCTATAACATATGCCTATTTAGCAGGCAAAGTAGGGGTATGTATCATCTTTAAACACACTAGATGCTATTCCAATTCTGCAAAAGAAATTGTTGAAAACTGATTTAAAGAAGTCGTAGTATATACTTATCATCTACTTATCATCTATAACATATGCCTATTTAGCAGGCAAAGTAGGGGTATGTATCATCTTTAAACCAACTAGATGCTATTCCAATTCTACAACAGCAATTGTTGTTGATTGACTTTTTGAAACGGTAGAACACAGACTAGCATATATAATTGTGCAAATTGAAAACTGATTTAAAGAAGTGGTATATCTACTTATCATCTATTTAGCAGGCAAATGGGAGCCGACTCAAGTGGCTCTAATAACTGGCAACTGAGGCAACTGTTTTGCTGAAGCGACAAACAACTAACAGCAGCTGTGAATGGGGCAAGTGACTTCCTGAAATGAGTAGCTTGCTGGCAGTTAGACAGCTACTCACTCACTCATTTACTCACTTAGTCAGTTAGTCAGTCAGTCCGATAGTGACGCTGTGAAGAGCTTGGGCCACAACAAACAGTTAACTCATTCATTCATTTATTACGACAATTAAGACTGCGGCTGCTTTGGAGCTGAAGATCGAGCACACAGATCGTGTCATTTGTATAACATTCAGCATGAGTGGTTGTCGGATCTTCCTCTCGCTCCATGCTGAAGTAACACCTTGTTGGCGCGTAGTCGGTGCGACTTCAAAGCATTTTAAATATGGCTTGTGTGCATTCTTGGGGCTACACACACAACAAGGCAGAATGTCTGTCTGTCAGAGTGACAGAGCCGGGCAGGACGGGCCCGGGCTCGGGTAGAAAAAAAATCACAACGTTGCAAATTCGTTCTTGAATCAAACAACCCACTCCAATTGGAACTGAAGTTGTAGTTGCTGCCGCGTTTTTATGAGATTCGCTTTTATTTTTATTTTTTTTGGGTTGATGGTGGCAACATTAAAAGTTGCCGGCTGTCAAGTTTCGCATGCGTTTGCATCGTTCTTCTCTGTTGCAACTTTCTTTCTCAAAAGCCCCCGCCGAATACCCGTGTCCGAAACTTCCACGATGTTGTTAATTCGCTCGCGTCTCTTTGCGTTGTCAGCTGAAAACTGCGGGTTGTCTCCGTCTCCCTGTCGCTTTCAGTCGCCTTCACTGGCGGCTTCTCAATCTATACGAGTTTGTATGTATGTGTGTGTTTGGGGCCTCCATGGAGCAGCTCGACTGGGAGACTTTTGGTCCTTCGTTCCGTTCCATTTCGTTTTTGTTGTTGTTTCTGTGTTGTGGCAAAATTGAAATTGTTGCTTTAACGTCGGCATGACAATAATCTCGCAAATCTGTTTAAATTAAGCGAGACAAATGTTTCTTTTTACTACAGACTTATACTTGTATGTATGTGGCAGGCATGCCTCCTCCTGTTGTGCCTCTTTTTCTTATGTTTTTGCCTTTGCCGTTGCCGTTCATGTCCATATGTGTGAGAGAATTTATCTTGAGTATTTGTTGGCGCGCTTCCTTTTCGCTGGCATGTGTGGCTCGCGGTAGTCGCCAAGAACTCTGCCTTATTACTTCGAGCACTTAGCGGCTGTCGGAGCCATCGAAAAGAAGATGTACTCAGTGGGTTGGTCGGTTAGACCTTTGACAGTCTTTCTATGAAAATAATACTATAAGTGCCTACATTTCCGATGCGTTTTTAGTTAAAAAGTGCTCTCAATTTAGCTGCAGCCCAACAAATAGCTGTTGACAACGATTCCAAGATTATAGACTTTTTAGTTCTATTATTAATTCCTTCAAAATATTACATGGAATTGTTAACCAGCGATTTCGATTTTTGGCCTGCTCAAAATGTTATTCATTAATGTTCTGAGTTCCGTCGTTGCTCGATCTATTTCAGGCATTGTCAATTAATTATTTTCAATTTTAACTTTAAATAAACCCACTTTTGTCTGCTATCAAAATATTGTTGTTATCAAAATGAATAAAGCGTAAAACTTAAGACTTCATATAAAGGTTGTATGGCAAGAATAATGCAGCGGAATGCAAGAATTTAACAAGAAATAAATGAAAATAAAGAAACTGAGTTTAATAATGAACTTTAATTCGATTCGCAACTACTTACGACAAATTCTTATAAAAATAAAAAAAGAAACATATGTATATATTATTCTATATATAGTATAATAGTAAGCAAGGGCATTTTAAGATATGAACGACTTATTGCTCTGTTAGCCCTAAAGCTTTTTGAAAACACATTTGGCTTATTTAGCAGCATTGCTCTGCGATTAAACACCCTTAATCTTGACAATACTACTAATGCTATACAATTCTATTTAATAAGTAGCCTATGCTGCGATATCATATGGGAGTTAAGAATGAAAACTAGGTCTATCAACCATATAGTTTCTGAAGAAGGCTCAAAGAAAAAAATACAAGAAACAAACAAGAAATTCAATACAGACATCAAGAAATGAATTTAGAATAATTCCGGTCGAGTTTAAAATATTTTTAGTCCATACTTATCTATGTCTAGTGAGTTAGGCGCTTTCGGAAAGAATATGCAAAAAGAAAACTTTATAAATCTCAAGTATGTAGAAAATTATTATTTCCATCTAAAAAAAATTCAGGCTTCTGGGTGGACCTAAATATATGCGGAAAAGCTGATGGAAGTGGAATAGTCACGAGGCATTATAATTGGCCAATCTGCTTATAGTAAGTGAGTCAAGGACCTATCCCTGTCTACCATGCCTAAATACCTAAATGATTTTAGTGACATTTTTCAAGAATTATGTTATATTTGGGTATGGAATTCTTAAATGATTTATAGTATCTGTTTCAACTGGAGAGAGTTAATAAATAGTAGAAATCAGTCACAATTTAATTAAGATATTTTTCCCATTTATTAGAGACAGATAAATCCCCCACGTGCAGCTTTTTACCTCAGTCGTCAAATCTGTACACGATTTTTCTCTCGAAAGTTCAAAATGGCGTTTCTCATGATCATGGCATAAGTACTTAAAAATGATTCAGACATTAGATGCTCGTCGGGAATTACGACACACATTATCTGCAGCCCATAAAATACGTGTGCTGACATAGAGAAAACAAAAATTTGGATATTGCTTTGATCAGGCTTCAAGTTCAAGTGGTTTTGATCGATTCACTGGTTATCGGACAAGTTGTCTGAAATGAAAAGCTGTTTTTATTGTTGTTATTATTATTGTTGTTGTTGTTGTTGTTGTTGCTACTGCTTGTGTTTTGGTATGCATGGGGCATCAATCACACACGTAAGCTTCTGCTGCTGCTTCTTCCTCGCCGCCCACCCATAAATCTGTTTGATCCTTTCGTTTTTCTTTGCCACATTTTTATACGGAAGAGCTGAGAATTTCACACAGTAATAAAAATCTCAAACATGTTTGTAAAGTTGTTAGAGCAACTGCTGGCGTGTAGGTGGAGGCAACATATAAATTAACATTTTGACTGCCAACTGGCGCGGCAAATGATCAAAGACACTTTGTGTTGTTGCCGTCATCGTTGCGTTGATCATCGTCGTCATCGTCATCAACAGCAGCAACAACAGCAACAACAGCAACAACAGCAGCAGCAACATCAGCGGCAAGAGCGGCAACAGCAACAGCGGAGGCAGTGGAGGCAGCGCGAACATCATTTTACGTTTACGATCCATCAACACGAGCCATCAAATTGTATACAAA